CATACTTTCCAGAAGGCCAACAATTCACTAAAAATGTTTTTTTTATTGGTCTTATGAAGTATTCTAATTTGTTGAGATAGTGAATTGGTGGGTTTTTGTTAAATGTGAGCCAAAATCATCACAATTAAAAGAACCAAAGACTTAAACTATTGCAGTCTGTGTGCATTGAATTTGTTTTATACACGAGTTTCACAATTTGAGTTGAATTACTGAAATAAATGAACTTTTCCACGACATTCTAATTTATTGAGATGCACCTGTATTTATCTGTAATGAAGCATTATTTACTGCAGGGGTGCCCAACCCTGGTCCTGGAGATCTACCTTCCTGCAGAGTTCAGTTCCAGCCCTGATCAAACACACCTGTCTGTAATTATCAAGTGCTCCTTCAGATCCTAATTAGTTGGTTCAGTTGCGTTTGATCAGGGTTGGAGCTGAACTCTGCAGGAAGGTAGATCTCCTGGAACAGGGTTGGGCACCCCTGCTTTACTGTATATACACTATCAGTCAAATGTTTGGACACAAGTATCCCAGGATGCATCTCTTGAAGTCCTGAGTATCCACATTATTTTTCCCGTAAGAGCGTTTACTGAGGTTTCATCATTGACTGCACTTTGTTATTCTTCTCGTTATTTCCCTACAGCGACTAATAAACCGAAAACAGCTTACATCCACGTTGAACAATAAGATGGATACAGAAGTAGAATCTAGGCAAAGGGTGGTTACAATTATGATATTTATGTTGTTTCCTTTTTTTGCTTACTACATTTCCTCATATATTTTTATTTGTGTTCCCATACTTGCATATTTGTTATTTTGTCATTTTAATGACCTTACCATTATTTTGAAGTGTCGAAAATAGTAATAATTTGACTGAGCAGATGTGTCCAAACTTTTGACTGGTAGTTTAGTTGCTATGCAGTATTGTTTTTGTGGAATAAACTGGTTTTATTCATTTTACTGAAAGTGTTTGAAGGAAGTATTACTATTTGCCTTCTTGTGCTTCTTATTTTTGAGGGAACAAAAAGTTATATTTTGAGATCCACTGAAGGATATGAGAAGTAAACATTTTTTGATAGTTTTTGATATCTATGTATATTGATTTAATTATTTTAAGTGAAGTAGACAAAGGGTTAATATATATATATACACACACACACACATTAGACTCATTATATGGTGTACAGTACAACCGTACTTCTCTTACTGTTTTATGGTAAGAGAAGTAATGTATTCTGAGCAATATTAAATATGAAACTTTTATCGAATACCTGGATGATTTGCTACTACATTTGTCAAAATGTGAAGTAGGCTGTACAACAGAAGGCAGAGAACCGGGTATCTAATAAAACAAGGCGCTGCACTTGACCTTCAGATTTCAGTGTTACTGAACCAGAGGTAATATCAGCCTTCATATCTTTCTTTTCAGTGTATGCTTTTTGACTCATTACAGTTTTTATTACCAACTTTAAGACTAGATATAGTTTGCAGAATTAATCATGCAACATAATGAGGGCAACATAGCATACTGCAGTTTGGAGCGTTTATTGGTGCATAATGCATACTGTTTCACATAGTATTAAAGTATATACTGTGAAATATGCAGCAGGGTAGTGTTCCTTTCCGAATGTGAACAGACGCTCCCTGTCCTGAAGAGAAAACAAGAAACTCTCTGCTCTCTAGTGGGCAGTAATTGAAAGTGTTGGACCCACGATATATAGCATGTGATCTGCCACCGCGGGCTCGCTTGCATACTGTTTGATCCGATCCCATAAGACACGGTGTAGTAGCCTAATTTATAGTAGGCCTATAAAAATTAATCATAGGCTACTATTATTATTAACCGTGATGATAAATAATATTAGTAATACAATTTTTTGTTAAGAAGAAGAAAGTTTATCTTGGATTATGAATATGCATTTCATTGCAGTTAAAGATTGTAGTACGTGTTTGACAATACACCACTTAAATACTATATGGTTTATCTGCACTGAAATGCATGGCAACACCCATGGCAAACTTTCACTTAAGCTATCATTTTATCCACACCGCATTCTATGCCAGCTCTTATCGCGAGTCATAGATTAGTAGTTTACTGGGGTTTTGCAGTCTCACGAGTGATTTCCGTGTGCCCAGATGACAAACAAGTTTATAATCTTGACCAAAGTACAACATCAGACACACCTCTGCTCTTTATTATTATGACTGAGCTCAGAGTTACAGTGAAACACACTACGCTGTAAAAATGTAGGGCTGATGAATAAAACGTTTTTCTGTATTAAATTTCAGTTGTCTTGCGACTGGCAAAACATTTAACATTTTAAGTGTAACTTTGTTATTAAAACCGATTCTTTCTTTAGACGTGACAGCTGATTATGTGTAAATGTGTGCACTGGTCCAGTTGTTTCTCCGTGAGTGCTCTGCGCATGCGCGCCCGTGTTTGCATGAGTTTGGTGAAACAGCAGCGGGAGGAGTGAGTGAACTCAACGCGAGAGGTGCGCTGATGCGCGAGCTCAAACCTCCCACAGAGACAAAGTTTATGCGCTTCGCTTTCCTCACTACATTCATAGAAACAAGAGAAAAACGAAATATCACTGGCAGAATGTTAGAATGATTGTGATATGGAATTAACGCTGAGCGAGTATAAATTCGTACTTTTGGAATAATTCTCATCGTGGTAGGCTATTTTTCTGTCTTCAACGCAAAACAGCGCTGCTTACCACAGCTGATAGATGAAGTGATACAGGTGAGTATAAACAACAGTGTACTCTGACTTACAACAAGTTCCGTTCTTTAATATAGACTAGCTGGGAAAGAAGGAACATTTAGATTAAAAATTGAATGTGTAGCTAATAAAAACACTTCTGTCCGGTTTGTGTAATCCTAAAACCGAAAGAACGGTAATTGCAGCACTATTTAATTCCGAGTATGTTTAAGTTGCTTGTAGGCTACTTAAGCGCTTAGTATCTTTAATAAGTTATGTTCATCAGTCACTCTACACTTCATATATATGGTTTACATACTTCCCTACTTTAATGTTTCATCATGTGATTTAATTATCTATCTATCTATCCGTTTTTATATTATAACGCACAGGATCATGTCCATTTGCCAAAGTTAAGTAATATATTGTAAGCAACATTTATATGCTCATTTGGCTCTATTGATACAAAGTAGATTATGGCACTTTTTGTTGTTGGTGTCTGTTTGTTTGAGTAGTGGGGGATTTATCTAGCGTTTGACTGTCAGTGGCAGTTCAGTGAGGACGAATTAAAGGGGTTTAATTGCCCCTGCAAGGGGTCCAAGTGAATTTGTGGGGGCAGGTTGAGCAGAATTTCCAGAATCTACCCAGCAGAGGCTTGCAGGATGTTGTAGATCAATTTCTGACCTGTTCATATACAATACAACATAGGGGTGAATTCAGGTTGATTGGGACACTTCTCCCCAGTCATTTCAATGGCAAAAAGTGTCCCAATCAACCTGAATTCATTCCTGTATTTGGACATTTATTCTTGCCCCCCCCCCTCTTGGGTTAGGTAACTCTTATTGTATTGCCGTTTCTGAAGTTCATTAAGCCTTCATTGATCAAACTTCCCTAATTGAGTGTAAACAATCCTTATTGAGTGTAAACAATGGTTGTGACAATGGATTTTCCTTTTGGTCAAATGTTAGCCCAGTGTGACTCACGTGTACATCCTGAGTCAGTCGCATGCGTAAGGTAGTCAAATTCACAGTACACCACAGTGAATGTAGGGACATCGCTCTTATTTACAGTGATATTAATCGGTCACTTTTTCCAGGCTCACTGAAGCCAGATTATCCTGGATTACACTGAGAGTCTGTGTCTGATCCCGGCTGTCATGAATCAGTGAGCATTCATGCATAGCATCATGCAATGTATGGATTATGATGCTTGCATATGCAATGGTGTTAAATTTTTATCAGTGGATAATCTGTAATCAACACAATGGTGGACATGGCACTTTCTCTCCTTATCAAATGTCTGATGACGTTTTTTTTTGAGGGTTTGACACTTTTGAATTTGTACGTGCTTATTTCTGTCTCTGTTAGTTTTGTTTGTGTTTGCACCACTGCAGGAATTTGCATGTTGGTAAGGACTGACAAATTCATGGCCAACTTTTGGGTTGACTGAATGTTTTTCCTTATACAAACAGTGATCTCATTCCTTTAATTTAATTACATTTTTAAAATGGACTAAAGCAACCCACCGATAGCAGCTAAATCTCTATTATAATTCTAAAATGAGTTTGGATGTTTTTTTTTAAGTGCACGTCTGGCTGCATCATCTGTTGAGTTCATAAAAAGGGTATTGTTAAAGTGTTGTAAAATAAGGAAAGTCGGTTAACATTTCTGACCTCTACAAATCAATGGTCAGTCCATTTGGCTGATTAAATCCGTGAGCTCCAGTGTAGCCGCGATCACGTCAGCAGGGAATCTGCTCTGAGCCTCAGTTTCAGGTCCAGCTGCTCTAGATGATCTGTTTATTTGCTCTAGTGAACAAATGCTTTTGTAAAGTAGGACTCGCTTTCACAGTATGACGCAGCTTCTGTTTTAAAAGCTTTTGAAGAGTAAGGTTGCTAGTGTTTCATTTTTCTTGTTTGTTTCATCCTTTACAATGTTTTCTGTGCTTCTTTGAAGCTCAGGTTAGTTTATTGCTTTGCCAGATCTCAGAGGAGCACAATTATGAGAGGTTTTGTTACATCTTTGGCCTCATTTAAAGTCAACATGAAGCCCCCTTAGAATCTCATTTTACTTTCATGAAGTGAAATAGAATATTCAGTGACACAATATTACAAATTGGGAATTTAAACATTTAAAGGGATTATTATATAGAGTTCTGCGGTAAAGATTTTTGGATGCAATGTGGCATCACCCTGGTTCCCTCTACAAAAAACAACAACAGGATTTTTCCATTGGCTTTTTGGATTATTGACGTATCATTTATCATGAAAATCTTCACAAAGGAACACTACTTTTTTATTATTTTGAAGCCTAAATGCAATCACCAGAGGTAAAAAGCTTAAACATATTTATATTTCACGGTCACATGATTTCAGTGTCACCTTCACTAAGCATCTCTTTCAGTCTTTATTTAAAAAAAAAAAATCTGTAGTTAAAATAGTTTGTGAGAGTGTGATTAAAAAACACAACGAGGCTGTGAAAGCTACTAGTGAATAGAAGTTTTCCTGTATAATATTAATGTTTAATGTCCCCGAAAACCTCTGTAGTCCCATTGAGCCACATGTTAGGAACCACCTTTTGCAAGACAAGTAAAAGTTCTTAAAAAATCGCAAGGGAATATTACTGATGTATTTGATGTTACTGAATAAAACGTGAAAATATCTTGACCTTATGTAAACCACAGACCTTATTTCAGTCACTTAACTAAAAACCCATTTAAAAAAACCATTAACATCGGGACGATGGAACCAGAAGTACTAAAATACTAATGTTTCTGGGGTTTGGTCTACAAAAATATGTCATCCCCTCAACCTGTAGCAGGTTTTGCTTTAACAATCACTAAATGTCAATTTAGACACAATTAGAGTTACAAAAGCTAATAGTGAACTAAAAAAAGTTTTAGTGTCAAGTTTGGTTTTTGTTGACTTTAATATTCTTTATCTGGTACGTTAGAACATTTTTACAGCCCAGCTTGATTAAACAACATTTCTGAGTTTCATTGTCATCCTTTTTTACTTGAATGCAGAATAAGTCAGATATGAATAATTGAATGACTGGTGATCCTTTTGCATTAAGCTCAAGCTTGTAATGAATGGTCTATATTTAGCTTTCACGCTTGATTTGGCCCAGTTCCTTCTCATCACAGCCAGATTTATAGACTTTGAGAAATTTGTGACACAAGTTCAGCCTGTCCTTTGTAAACCCCAAGAATGAATGGACGACCAAATTGAACTCTTTCAGTGCCTTGAATTAGCATATCCCACAATATGGTCCCAGTTTGGTGTCATCTGAAGACAGAAAATGGTATAATTCAACGTTTGCTCTTTGGTTAGATGAGATTTATAATGATCAAGTGGTGTAGCCCTTGCCCTTGAAGGTTAAGAAATTGGATTTTACTGCCGCTACAACAGTAAATCAAAAAGACAGCCTTTGTGTGCTTAGTAATTTTTGTAGGACTTTGGTCTAGCTGGGATGGTGTTAAGATGTGGCTAACATTCCCATTAAGATTGAAAACATTATTTCTCAGTGTTTTGTGAATGTATAAAATGTCAATTTTGTCCTAGTTATTAGAACCTTATAGCCTAGAGAAGGGAACGTTTAATTTTATTTTGGGAATGTTACTTTTGAATGTTCTCTAAATGTTTTGAAACAAGTAGTAAATAGCAACAAGAATGCTAGTCATAAAACGTACAATTAATTATGTATAAATAACATTTTGAGAATGTTATTAAAGTCTAGATAACTGTTCTATTAACATTACTGGAGGAAAGTTTGTTCACAACTTTGAGAAAACCTTGCTAGAACATTAGCTTAAGTTGTGGGAACACACAGCAAACAGTAACAGAGCACTTCCCTACCAGCTTTTATCAGAGAAACAGGTTTATAGAGCTGATGCATTGCATTTTTACAAAAATTCTACGTAATTACTCAAGTTCTCATGATTTTGTACCACATGTTCTCTGAATGGCTGAATAGACGCTAGCAAAGTAAACAGACTGGTAGCCGAGTGTGCAGTGAGAAACGTGTGACCTGTGGGATTGTTTTGGGAGTGGGATCCCTTTCAGGATTCTTCAAGAATGGCTCTCTCTCGTTGTGCGGGGGGTAATGAGCAGGCATTTGCATTGTTCGCTGGTGCGTAGTGCAAAGGCTCACAGTGAACTAAGTGGAGCGCTAGCTTTACCCTTTGCACAAGACAAGACCTCTATTGCTTCTTGATGTGTTAATGATTTACTGGAGACATGCAGTGTTAGACTGATGACTCAGTGACATTCGGGCATTCATTGAGGGCATATTTGCAGTGGTATCACAACTTCCTGTCTTCCCACATGGTCATTATTGATGGTATTCGCACTTGTAAAGTCATCATTACACAGGTTAAGTAGATCATTATCTATAGCCTATATGAGTAGGTAACAGGACATGCCAAGAAGTGACACCAGTGTCCTGAACAGTGTTGGGGAAAGTTACTTTTACAAGTAATGCATTACAATATAGTAATGCTCAATAAAAAGTAACTAATTGAGTTACTTTTTATGGAAAGTAAAGCATTACATTACTTTTGCATTACTTTTTGTCACCTAAGCATGGTTTACTTATTTATTTTTAATAACAAAACCCCCAAAAGTTATATTTTTGGCAAGTGAAATTAATAAGATTTGGGCTGAAGGAAGTGCGTCTACCTCTTCGCCTCACTCCCAATTTCTCTCAACATGGGGACAGGAGAGCTGTCAGTCAACTTGTGTTACTTATTTGAAAAAGTAGCTCAGATATTTTCTTGTAAATTTAAAAGTAATGTCTTACTTTACTAATTACTTGAAAAAGTAATCTGATTACGTAACTGGCATTACTTGTAATGTGTTACATGCATTTTCTATGTTGTAAAATGTCATTTTTTGTCTCACACTTACAATATTAAAGCTTCAGCGTCATATATATGTAAGTAAGTGTGTTATTTAGATATGGGATATATAATTTATATTTGAAAACAAAGGGCTTTTCAGTGGAATTAGATCATAATGCAAATGTTCAATTTTGCATAGATATGTAATAAATAGAGAGGCTTTTGGTAGTTACAGTGTATTTAATCACATTAACGGCTGGAAAACTTAATTTAACTGGCTTACACAGTCAGGAGCGTCTTCTCATGAGCTTAAGACATCACATGCTGGATAGGAGTTTGACTCATTGCTTAGGAGTCAAACTCATTTTACAATTTTTAGGTTTATAGATGAATTAGTTCAATTCAGAGATGTTGTTGAGCTTACTGTGTATATACAATACAATGCGTACATACGATCCCATAATCCTCCTGTGTGCTCTGAGATTACAGGAACAGGCAAAGCAAAGGAGGTGTGGATGTGTTTGTGACATACTATATGGTTTAGCTCATATCCACTAGTCAGGTCGCGTTTAGCATAATGCTTTCTGTGGTTGAGGTTTGTTTGCCTGTCGTTTGATCTTGTATGTTTGATGTTCTTCAGGTATGTGAATCTGTATGAATACCCATCATGCAACTGAAGAACCTTCCTCTGTTGGAAGTCATTGTTGCAGTGCTGTCACTATTCAGTGAGTATTATACAGTAATTACTTTACAATTGATATACACAGCAACCTTTTCTTTATTAGTCACTAGTTTAAATATATATGTATAGTTTTTATTGTTATTTACAAGATTTCCATATATTTTCTCACAATCTTAGCTCACACAAGTGCAGCTGAAGTCCACGTCCGTGCCAAAAAAGGGGATACTGCAGTGTTGACATGCAGTCTTCCAGCCCTGGATGAGGGCAGCTCTGCTCCTCAGCACGTCATAGAGTGGGTGCGTCAGGGCTATGATATCCCCATCCTCATCCAGTTTGGAGTGCACGATCCCAGAGTGCATCCCAACTATGATGGTGAGTTCCTAAACACAGAGAGCTTTTTACAGGGGTCAACAACCTTTTTTTTGCAAAACTGTTACCATGCATTAAAATAAAATCTATCAAATTAAAGTAAAAAAAAACAAACATTTGAAGTAAAAATTATTAATGGATAATAAATAACAGTGTTGGAATTTTCGCAGCACTGTTACCTTGCATCAAAAATAAAATGTATAGTAACACTTTAGGAAACACATATTCACTATTAACTAAGTTTTCCCTTAATAAACTCCTAATTTGCCGATATTACTTTTTAATAAGGTAGTTGTTAAGTTTAGGTATGTGGCAGATTAAGGGATCTAAAATATGGTCATGCCAAATAAGGCATTAGTGTGTGCTTTATGAATACTAATAAAAAATATGCTAGTAATATGCGTGCTAATAAGCAACTAGTTAGTAGTTGTCACACAACACTGCTGTTAGGAAGACATAGGGCATGACGAAGATCATAAACAAATCCTTTTAATTGTAATCCACAATATGAAGAGGGTCTAACACACAGGGTAACATTCACAATACCGGACGAAGGAAGACAGGACAGACTACACTTTAAATACTGGAGCAAATGAAGATAATTAACGACACACACCTGAACCAAATAACACAATCAAGCATGAGGGAAAACTAGGTCACTGAGCACACGAGTAAGGAAAACACGACAAAACGTCCATGGTTGTGACAGTAGTGAGAATTGGTCCTCAAAATAAAGTGTTACCAAATGTATTAAAATTAAATGAGAAAAAAAAAATGGAATAAAAATTATGAATTGATAATAAATAGCAGGGTTGCAAATTAAGCCTAAATTAAGATGTTGCTCAGTCAAAGATATCTAATTTTGGATTAGATGCTGATTTGCTGTAATTGCTACATTTATTTTTACCAAAAAGTAAAGAAAATACATGATTATTTCATTCTTACTCATTTTTCAGTCCTAATTCTTTTTTGTTGTTTTTTTTTAATTGAGCTTGACAAATGCAGAGAATATTGAGGATACTGAAAGAGATCATGGATTTGTTTTCCCATCCTGCTGTTGAAAGGGTCCAAATAATGTTATTTTTTGGGTGTCTCACATTTTTCAAGTTAAATTTTTTTTGTAATATTTGAAAAATCATGTAGTAACAGGGTTGACTTCAAAATGTGGATACAGCTTTTTGTTAATTAAAATTGGTCAGTGATTGCAACTTATTTTTATTACAATGAACTGAAAACCATTTCAACAGATTTTATTGACATTTTGGTCTTGGATTTAAATGCCTATACTGTTACCTCTGAGTTGGTACAAGGGTATAGCACTTTTCGAAAAGCTTGCCAAGCATGGACTGCCATGTTGTAAACCACATCCTACTATGGACAATGCAGTATCTCTCACCTCTTTCGTAATTCGTTCTCCTGAGTGCCACTTCGGTTATAGCGTGTCTCAGCTTACAGTAACTCTGCTCTTTTGTGTGCTGTGGGACCTGCTAGTTTCTCCCCCTCTCACTGCTGAAGTCCCTATTGTGTCTTTGGGAGTTGGAATACAAAGGGTGTCTATGGGGAAAAGAGTCTTTCAATAGGCTGAAAAAACTCCCTCCCCAAGTTTTTAAAAATGCAATGGCTCTAATACAGAAAGAAACAGGCTGTCTTGGTAACACTGCAAGTTTTCTGTGCTTGATGAGCCTCACCTTCCAGGCAGTGAGCGGGCGACAGGTTCAGCCCTGCAGTTTATGCATGAGCGCAGTGCGTCCCTGCGCAATTAAACAAATTCTCGTAGACAGCACTGCACCTGTTCATCGCGATGTTGCCCGGGGCGATGGAATGCAAACCTACTGAGCATCAGCAATAACTAGTTAAGTTAACTTATAGCATGGTTCATTGCCAAATTAATTTTCTCATGCACCAAGCAATGGTCTATGTGGTAATGTGTAAAGAAATTTGTTTACAAGTGACAGTTCATAAACAAATTTGTTTACTTGTGAGCAAGCAACAGTTTATAAGTGAATTTGTTTACTTGCAATACACAAATTTGTTTACAAGTGCAACAATCAATGCTTTTAAATGAATTTGCAGTGCTTTATAGGTTAATTTCTTGTGACACGCAACAGTTTAAAAGTGAACTTGCAATGGTACATACTAAAATTTGTGCAACAAGCAACATTTTAAGTGAATTTGCAACCCTCTTTACTTGAGCGACAAGCAGCAGTTTATTAGTGAATTTGTTTACTTGTGCAAGAGTTCTTGCACAAATTTGTTTACATGTGCAACAAGCAACATTTTTAAGTGAATGTAGATCGCTTTTTAAGCTAATTTATTTACTTGTACATGAAAGAACAGTTTGGTGAATCTGTTAACTTGTGCAACACGACACTTCACGCACAAACTTGTTTACATCTACATCAAGCAACGTTTTTTTTAAGTGAATTTGCAATGCTTTGTAAGCTAATTTATTTACTTGTGCGACAAGCAACAGTTCATAAGTGAATTTGTTTGTGCAACATGTAATAGTTCATACACAAATTTGTTTACATGTGCAACAAGCAACATCTTTTAAGTGAACTTGCAATGCTTCATAAGTGAATTTCTTGTGCGAAAAGCAACAAGTGAATTTGTTCACTTGTGAAACATGCAACGGTTTATACACAATTCTGTATACTGTACATGAGCAACAAGCAACGTTTTTAGGTGAATTTACAATGCTTAATAAGCCAATTTCAGTTCTTGCATGACAAGCAATAGGTTATATAGTGTATTCACAATGGTTTATAAACAAGTTTGTTTTCTTGGACAAACAAATCATAATGTAAGCAAAATTTACTCGTTTAACAAGCAATAGTTTATGAACAAATTAATTGACTCTTGCACTAAACAATTGTTTATTAGTGAATTTGTTATGTGGCAAGCAATGGATTACCCACCAATTTTATTGTATTTTTTTACTAATTCAACAAATAATGGTTTATGAACAAATTTGTTTACTTGTGTGACAAGCAATGTCTGTTTACTTGTTTGTTTACTTGTGTGAGAATCTGTTGTTTATAAATTTTTGGTTAATAGTGGATTCACATCATTTAGCTTGTGTTAGCATTTTTTGTGGTTTTTGAACACCACTGAATATTGATTTTATTCACATTCCTTCCTTGTGAACTGAAAGAAGGAATGAATGGCCTCATGTAAACCAACAGCCCAATAAAGGTTAGAGGGCGTCACGACTGTCGTTTTATGTAATGAGAAACAAAGAAAAGAAACAAAAGGTCTAAAGCCAGGACTTTTTGTGCAGTGAGGGGGGCAGGTGCAGCATGGGAAGAGGTGAAGGGTGAGCTTGGTGTGAATTTCGTCACCTTAGGCAATATAGTGTCTCATGTGTCCACTCTGGAGCTCATAGTGAAATGCCATAACTGTTACACGCCACAAAATCAGGCACATTTAGGGTTTGTGATGGTATTATATATATATATATATATCTTAACTAAATATAATCTAGCTTGCTAGAAACCTAAAACTATATTGGCAGTAAAGTAGAAGCGATCTATAGATTGCAGTGAAAAGCGTGACCATCAGAGGACTTTTTACTGACGCTCTCTGTTCCAAATTACCCCCCATCCCCTCATCTGTCAGCATGCAAAAACTCAATTGAGTCAAAACTCTTTCTAACTAGCAGCACGCTATCTTGAAAGGCCATTGGTCCGATCAAACCAAGCAGCTTCCCAGTAGCCCGTTGTGGTGATTCAAATGTCAAAAGATAACAGTGTCTTGAAACACAATAAAAAGAATACAGATGACGACTATGGTGTGAAACCCGACTCTTGCTTTCCTGAGCTGAAACTGGAGAGTCCCCTACCTGGGAAACCTGTGCCAAGAGGTGACACAATGTCTCTGGGATACAAGGTAGCGGATAGGATTTAGACTCCAGGTTTCATAGCCTCAAGTCACAGACTTGTTGAATACAGCCTCCAACTAGCAAACCTTCAAAATTTGAACCTTTTTGAATTTGAATAGGTGGATGTGGTGACTTGATTGTTACTATTTATATGGATCCCCATTAGCCACTACCAAGGTACCAATACAATAAAACATACAAACCCAAAATTCATTCAGAACATCAAAATCAACAATTTACTGTATACTGTGCCATTAAATATTTCTTCATTTAGATTTTTTTTAAACCTCATTTTACTTATTAAAAAACATGTAATGTCCGATGGCAAATCATTCCATATTTTCATTCCTCTATACATTAGTCCGTTGCTTTGTATTAGTTTTTGAAACCGGAAGCAAAAAAATATCCTTTTGATGCATGCCTTTCTTCATTTAGATTTTTTTTAAACCTCATTTTACTTATTAAAAAACATGTAATGTCCGATGGCAAATCATTCCATATTTTCATTCCTCTATACATTACAGTCTGTTGCTTTGCATTAGTTTTTGAAACAGGAAGCAAAAAAATATCCTTTTGATGCATGCCTGGTGTTAAAATTATGACTAGCACTACAATACAAAAGTTGACAGTACAGTACACTTTGAACTCTAGACACTGAAATATTTCTTATAAAACAAAGCAGAGAAACAATTGTCCTATCCTTCACAAGTAGCCAACCTAGAATTGTGTGCATTCTCACAATATCAACCCGTCTATTACAGTTCAGAGTAAGTCGTGCAGCTCTATTCTGGACTAACTGTAATTTTTACAAGTCTTTACTTGATGTACTCGACCACACCACTGGACAGTAGTCTAAACAAGTAAGAACCATTGTTTGCACAATTTGAGAGATGCAATACTGTGGTAGAAATTTTATCTCTACCACAGTAAATCTCTTAATAACTGATAGACCTCTTCCCATAACTATTACCATATTTTCTATCTGTTTTGACCACTTCAGCCTACTGTCTAACAATAATCCCAAGAAGTCTGATTTCCTCTACCTGTTCAATAGGCATACTCTTAACAGACAAATTTAATTGTGGTTTGAGTTTAAGTTTAGAATTTGATCCAAACACAATAC